AAACTTAGTCAAAGCAACACACTCTACAAACTCTTCAAACTTTCTATCACCTCTTCCAAGCTTGTTCTTTGTTTAGGGTTTTTCTTGCAGCAGTTGTTAAGCAGACTTGTAATCTTGTTAGCTGCTTCCTTTGTGCATCCAAGTTCGTTCATCATTCTGAGCAACTTCAACCAACTTGTTTCCACACCTAGACCTCAATTCATCTGCTTCATTGACTTTTTGAACCCTGGTTTATATTCCAAAGTCCCCAATCTTGAGGTATACCTTTACAATTATTTGTTTATAAAACAGGGTTCAAAAAGTCAATGAAGCAGATGAATTGAGGTCTAGGTGTGGAAACAAGTTGGTTGAAGTTGCTCAGAATGATGAACGTGCTCTGGTGAAGAGGGTACTAGAACTTGGATGCAAGAAGGAAGCAGCTAACAAGATTACAAGTCTGCTCACCAACTGCTGCAAGAAAAACCCTAAACAAAGAACAAGCTTGGAAGAGGTGATAGAAAGTTTGAAGAGTTTGTAGAGTGTGTTGCTTTGACTAAGTTTACTCTGAAAACAGTTTTCATGGACACAGAACAGGGGAGATTTAGGGATTTTTATATGATATTACTCTAAACAAAAACATGGCAAAAACATGGCAAACATGATTGAGGTTCTGGAAGAGTACAGCTAAGAATTTTATTAAGTTTCAAGAAAATTTCTGAAGATTTCGTTGATCTAGACGCACCTAATTTTTTCCACCCATGCAAATGTAAGTTACTGCCAAAAAAAAAAAATCCAAAAAAACATGTATTTAACGGGGAGGAAGAAGATAGATCTCACCAAATTATGATGACTCTGCATCTTGAATAGCTTCTTCTGCTCAGATCTGGCAAACAAAAAAAAAAAAAATCATAAGCGGTTCATTCCAGATCATTATATCATCTGAAAAAAATTTCAATTAGATCTAAAACAGCAATTCATCACATACCGCAAATCTACTTTCCATGACATCTGAGAACAAAATAAAATTTTCTCAGAAGTTTGTGTGCAGAGAGGAAGTTCGGTGGCAGTTTGGGGGAAGGCAATCAGGAAAACTCCTAGTTAGAATTTAAAATTTTGAACTTTGGGATGAAGAGGAGATGGGGTTTTGAAGGAGGAAGGGAGCGTGAACCAGATGCGAAGTTTTTGCGTTAGGATTTGAGATTTAACATGGGGTTAAGCCCAGATACAGATTGATGGTAAAGGTAGGAAGGTGGATAAGACCGTAAGAGGAAGGGAGGGTTTTTGACGGTGAGAATAGGAGCAGGGCGCAGAGCAGAGGACGGCTGCCATTTGGGGGAGGAATGCTTTAGTTTAGGTTTAGGAAGAAAAAGGGGATGAAAGATCTCCGTCAGGCAAGAAACAAAGTACAGCTAATAAACAGAGTTAGAGTTTGAAAGTCAAAATGTTTAGGGTTTAAGTCCGCTGTTATCCCTCGACTTTTTAAGAAAGTTCAATCTGAGCCTTCTACTTAGAAATTTCCTCAGACTCTCCCTTTAGGTCTTTTTAAGCTAAACATATTTTACTATTTAAAAAGTCATTCCTTCTCTACCAGCATCATATTTTACTGTTAAAAACATACGGTAGTAAGTCATTTACGATACTTTTATGTTAAATTTTTAAAGTTTTATCCAACTTGTGTAATAAAAATATAATAAAAATATATTTTTATAATAAATTTATATTAAATAAATAAAAATTAATCTTTAATTTTAATTATTTTTAAATAAATTTATTTACTTAGTAATAATATTAAAATTAATATCAATGTTTATATTTTTTATATATATTTAAAACAAAAAATACTTTTAACTTATTTCCTTCAAGTTTAAAAAACCCTTTTTTAAATTTCGAAGGAGTCCACCAATGCCACATCATAAAGGGTTCTTAAGTTCTTTATTTCTCTTTCTTTTTATCAAATTGTTATAAGTTTTTTTTAACAAAAAAAAGTTTATTTGCTTTCATACAACAAGAAAAACCTAATTTAATAATCAATCTAATAATTTTTTTATTTTCTTTCTATTTCATTTATTATTTTTAAATATTTTCAGATCTATTTATTATCTTTTACCTTTATTTTAGTTTAGTTTAGCCTATTAACTTTCTAACAACAATTTCATTTTATTTGGTCAAATTGATTTTCAACTATATGTTTTGTGAATTTTATTCCTTAAAATTAATTTTGAGATAAAACTAATTTTATAAATATGAAAAATTTCTTTTTATTATCTAAAAAATTATAGCATTTATTACATGCTACTTCAGTTTCCATTTTAACAATTTTTTTTTTTAGCAGAAACTATAATTATTAATATATTTCAATAATTTATATTGTTTCTCCTAAATTGCTTTTTAGTTGGGACTATTTTGTTTTAATTTTAATTGAATTTTTTTGTTATTTTTCTATTAAAATTAATGAAATTTTGTACTGTTGACTATTTTGAAATATTTTACAAAATTTATAGATTATTTAGAAAAAAAACTAACTTTCTAGACTAAAATGAAATTAGATAAATAGTTAAAAGACCAATAATTAAATTAATCCGAAGAGAAATAAAGAACTTAAGGACCCTTTATGAGTGGCATTGGTGGGCTCCATTAGGGTTAAAAAAATAATATAAAATTATTTTAGATAACTTGCCTGTGTTTTTTAACGGTATTGTCAATTTCGTTTCATATGGGGAGGTACGCCAGTATGGACTGGTTTTGTGGTTAATTAGAAATGCTATAAGATTTGATTTCATTTTTGTCAGATATCAAGTGTTTCAATCAAATTTTGCCATACTGGCCGAAATTCCCCTTTTTTTTTTTTTTTTTGACCAAATAGATGGTTAGAAGTTAGTAGAGTTAATTTGTTAGTAGCTGAAATTTTTTTAGGAAAGTGAACGTTCCACCCCCTCATTTGAGGCGCGCGACTATTAGATCGCAAATTGGTGGAGTTCACGGCAGTGACAGAGCTTAAAGCCCTGACCTCCGCCTCACCCACACCCTAAAGCTTGGGGCCAACCAATTAAGCTACAGGCCCGGTTGGCGGCCGAAATTCGCTTATTCGGCCAGTAAACAGAAATGCTAATAATACATTGTTCTCAGGTATGGTTACAACTTCATCGTCTTGTGCTACCCCTAAACATAAATCTAATCAATCGATTTAATAAAATATTATTAATCAAGTAGGATTTACTTGCTATACTTAAATATTGTTTTTTTTAATAATTTTAAATTACATAATAAAAAACAAACCACCCACTCACATAAATTGAGATTTAAATTCAAAGATTTTTTATTTTTATTGAAAAATATTATCACTAAATTATTTTTTATAGAAAATGGAGAAATTATATTAAATAATAATAAAATATAAAAGAAACTCAATTGCATAGCATATAGTATAAAGATAAAATCAGAAATATAACCTACAACACTAATAATATGTTTATAACCTACAACACTAATAATATGTTTAATCTATACATATAGCGTATATAGACAATTAAGTAAAGAGAAACATCTGCAAATACATATTGCAATTGCAATTACTGTATAAACTAAATAGGGTTATTAATGTAGAAAAGAAAGTCACTATGAGCATCAGAAGCTACTGGACATTCTCATCTATTTAATCAGTTTCAAGGGGAGAGTAAGGGATTGCGACAATAAACAGTTCCAAACCTGCAGGTTGTCGTCCTATATATTCCTAAAAATTAACCAACAGAAGGAGGGGCATGGTCCCCCTTTGTCCAAGCACAAGGCACCCCAATCTTCTCTAGGTGCTCCCAACCATGTTTCCCATCTTTTTCAATTCTCTTCAAGCCTTTTCTACTAAAACTTGTTAAGGGAACTGGAGCCCCTTTACCATCCTTAATATTTTTCTTCCCTTGCAGGACACACTCAGCCTCACCAACAATATCCTATTCCTTTTTGTCAATCCTCCATACTAAAGTCCCTTTGTCGACTTGAATATCATGCTTCCCGTGCAGGCCATAACCGACGTCAGCAACAACATCCCTTTCCCTTTGTATTCGAATGCCTAATTGGAAATTAAAATGAACTAACTTCACTGAATTCAACCCTCACCAAGATCCCATCCAAAGAGATGTGCCAAAGTGAGGCTCCTACTCATTGAATAGGAAAACCTAATCCACCGGTAGGATCAATCCCCTAGTTGTTCTAGTCGTAACTTTCAAAAATCAACCACAAATGTAAATTTGAATATGCTACTACCTTGTGGTCCCTTAAACTGAAGTTTTCAAAGCAAGACGATTATCATTAAACTATTAAGTTATTATTATTATACTTAAATATTGTTTACTATAATTATTGCTCTATAAATATTAATGCTAGTTTTTCTAAATCTTACTCCTCTTATTTGCTTTTTGATTACCATATCTCACAAATAAAGACATACAACTATGCATAACACTTCAAACACAAATAAAATAAAATACAAGATAGATGCTTACACTAATGAAAGTCCGTAAATATATTATACTGAGTAGTGACAATCCCTAAAAGAGACATTCATTCGCTGAGATGCTAAGAGCTATTCGGTCATATGCTGCAGAGCTATTTTGGACACCTTTCTATCTAAAACTATAAATCCACATCATCTCCGTAACTCCGTTGATGCCAAGACTAAAACATCAACAACTAGCTATAAATCCAAAATTCCTTCTTCTTTAATTATTGGACATCATCTGACACTTTGAAATTGAGGATCTAAGGCAAAAGCCTATTGGGGTAGTGGAAACAGAGGAGAGACACAAAGGGGGAAGAAAGGGGTGGGGAAGAAGGTAGGGGGACAAAAGAGTGAAAGAGAGGAAGAAAGACGAAAGGAAGAGGAGAAAGAAAGAAAGAAAGAAAGAAAGAAAGAAAAAACAGAAAAAGAACCAAGGAATCACGAAGTGAAAGAGAGGAAGGAAGACAAAGGGGATAGGAGAAAGAAGACAAAAGAAACAAAGAAATCATCCAAACAAAGGAGTTGGAGAGGAAAGAAGAGAAATGCAGAGCAAACAAATGGCGAAGAAACTCTAATAACTATTTTGTTAGGAAATAATACTTGGGTAGCGAAAGTGCTAACATGGTATACTCCAACTACCACCTAAATGATTTAGCCAAAAATTTTCATCATGAATACTCATATTCTATAACAGTCCATGTCAATTCCTCCATCGCCAGTCACCGCTAGGTTTCCAGGCCGGCAGACATCAGTCGTGTATATTTCTCTCCAGAATCCACCAGAGAGAGTAAATCCTTGTTTTGCTGCTCTTTTGCCTAAGGTTATCAGCCTTTTCTCCCAGTATTAGATCTGTCATGACACACCCAACCACTTATCCCCCTACCCTTACCACCCCAGAAGGATGACCTAAAAGCAAATAGTTAAACTTCCAATGTTCTCTTCCCTCCTTTATGGTAACAAAGACTGAGCTGAAACAAGTGCAAGAGTTGTTCGGTCAAGCAGCCGACCATTGCTTGAACTTGAAGAAACCAGATTGAAGTTCTGCCTTTTTACGTCTTCATAGTTGTCCAGGTCCAACGGCTCTGTATGTCTTTTTCCAACGGTTTTGTATGTCGGTGTCCTGCAGGGCTGTAACGTGGGAATTAGAGGATGTACAGTCTGCCTTATGCTTAAGAATTATGATGATAAACTACAGAGATTGTATCTGTGGTCGAGATCACAAATTACATGTCAATTTTTGTTTGTTTTATGGCACCTTACAGTTTTCACAATATGAATTATGGCACTTCTAAAGAAAAATATATATTTCACCAAAAAAGAATGAAAGAAAAAAATATATTTGAGGACCACATGCATCGAATGAGTTAGGATCAAATTAAAGCCAACTTAAACAGTACAAAATTTGGAGATTCATACAGTGCATATGCTATTGGTAGGATAGAATAATAACACAGCCTGAACTTATTCCCCAAACGAGAAGAGAAGTAGTAGCATCAGTTCATCTCACTACCCAAACACAAAGCAGCCCCATTAAAACTCCACACATTTCAGCTATATCCCACTTGCTGCTGCTGCTGCTGCTGTTGTGGCTGTTGGTAATTTCCATACCCTGGATAGCCTCCGTAGTACATGTTTGGATCTTGAGGAGGAGCAGCAGCATAGCCATACTCATATCCTTGACCATATCCATAGTACCCACCATTCCACTGGTTTGGATCTGACTGAGGCTGAAAGCCATTGACACATCCAAAAGAAGGATAAGACCCGAGGAATTCACCAAAATTCCAACACATAGAAGACTAATGGGTTTTAGATTGGAAAAAATACCTGTTTGTTTGAAGTACTCCGGCCCCATGAAAGGCGAATATTTTGTCCACCCAACATACTTCCATTCAACACCCGCAATGCTTCTTCTGCGCAGCTCCTGATTCATCACAAGAACAGAATAAAATAACAGACTATTGCTAGATTTCATAGGCAATAAGCTGAATATTCAGCACCTTAGCTCACCTATCAGCAAATTGAACAAATCCACACCGCTTGCCTGCTGGTATCTTCACATGTACCAATTGCCCATACTGGCCAAAAACTTCTCTCAAATAACCATCCGTCACGTTGGAATCCAAATTACCAACAAATATCTGCATTGAAATATGTGAAGTCACAATGATGTAACCAGATTATTTTAACATGGACAATGTACAAAGTACCCACGGTTGTATTATTTGGATCACTGTCGTTTGAAGTCCCTTGAGCCAAAGCTGCATGTGAAAAATAAAGGTGTAATAAAAGAGCAACTAATAAGAGCATAGAATTTCCAAAACAAGAAAACCACAAGGAAAAGAGACTGCTGGATCCCTTCAGAAATCTAGAAACATTTCATAATCTATTGTTTATAACAACTAGAAGGTGCCGGAGATATACAAATGAAACAACTAATATTGTTCACAGTATACGTACAGAATGCAAGTATCATTAATTGTTCCTCAACTTACAAATAATTATTCAATGCCTATGTAGAAAAGTTAACTATCCAATAATCAACAGAGAGCAGACAGTAAAATCCATAAGGGTAGACACTAACAATTGATACATCAATAAAGCATCCTGAACAATCAGATGGACCATGCTTGATATTCACATAAGTTAAGCATACAGATAATATATCCATTAATCGCCATATCAAATCATAAAGTATAACATAAAACCCTTACAACTATAACATCTCTATAGGCGCAGAAGGAGGCCCATGACCACTTGGGGGTGTCACTAAGGGACATTGAAACAACAAAAGCTGAAGCCTTCACATCCCTCCATTAACAAGATTAAAGAACTGAATGCTCACACAGACTAACAGTGGTGCACTAGAGTTTATATACTCCTACGAAAATAAAGGAGTAAGAAGGTAAACTGGAAAAATAATAGTAGTGCCAAGCAAACCTTCATTACGAAAAAATGACAAGGACTACATAAAGGGTGACAATCATAAAAAACCTTCATTGCAGGTAAACTTTTTTTGCTTTCTAATAACTTTATAATTACACCCTAGTGGACTGAAATATAAAAACAGAAATGGCCAAAAGCCTTTCAAATTTAATTAGAAAAAGGGAAATGAGGGCTAAAGGGTCAAATAATCAGATCCAGCTAGAATGTAAAGGCATAGGGAAACAGTACATAAGGAATGTACATAAGAAAATACAAATGTAATTCTCCTGTATTACTCAATATAAAACTTAAGAAGAAAAAAAGGGTCTACTAGTGAACTTAAACATCACTGGACTTATAAATCTCTAACCAGAGAAGAAATAAAATGTAAGTTGACTGACAACTAATCCAATAGAACTGAAAATAGACTTTGAAAATGTAGCATAAGAGATGCCACGGAAATCTCAAAAAAGGATGAGACATTAACACAAACACTGACCTAAATGAGGGCACGGACTAAAGGGGTAACCAATTCAGCTGAAATCAGTTCCAGGCCCCAAGATGATAGAGCCTCCTGACACCCTGCTTTGACACAACAGGAGTTTTATAAGTTTACAAGTTTCAGTTTCAATAGCATTTATTGCGTCCAAAATCTTAAGGGAAGTACGGGAAGGAAATGACTTGGAAACTGCTGCTCAACTCTAGAGAATAACTGAAAGAATGAGAACTCAACATTGATATTAAGTATACTGCACTTCACATCAAGTTATTTCGGACATTAGCATAACAAATCTAAGACCTAAAACAGATTAAACCATAACACTAGCCATGAAATTCGAAGCAAATGCACTAAGATATGAGTAAAGCAAGAGATTCTTATAATCAACCAAATTAGGACAATAATGATCTCCCCTGGATTCCAGATGCAATGACCACATTCCAGACTCCTTAGTAAAAAACAACACTAGAATACATACCTTTAGGATATTGCTGGCCAACAACTGTCTTCTTGTTAGCAGCTGGCCCTATACGCATTGGCCTTGTTGAACAGAAAACACCTTGCATCTCTACCATGGCATGGTTATGTTCAGTTTCATCTCCAAACCTAACAAACCCATAACCCTTTGTACGTCCTGTGAGTCTATCAATTACAACCTTAGCACCCTTAACAGAGGGATAACGGGCCCTGAAGGTCTCTTGAAGCATGTAATCCGTAACATCAGCAGCCAAGTCTCCAACAAAAATAGTGAAGTCAGGGACATCATCACGCTTCTCACCCGAACCAAAGGACGCCCAGTTCAGCCTGAAGTTCTGTTCACCATTTGGCATGGCGGTACCATTGTATGTTTGCAGAATCCTTTCAGCAGCAGCACGAGAAGTGAATTCAATAAAGCCATAGCCCTCAACTTGACCAGTTTGCTTGTTACGGATGACCTTCACTGAAGCAACCTGAAATGTGAAATGCCATCAATGTAAAGAAGGAAAACAAGACAATCTGTAAACCTCCCGAACTGCCTACTATTTCAGCACAACAACAATAAGCAACACCTTAAATCAGAAAACCCAAAAAAGGAGCTTCGTATCTAGATACCTCTCCAGTGTGTGAAAAACAGCTCATGAGGTAATTCTCGTCCATCCAGTACTGCAGGTCACCGATCCACAGAGTCCGCACCTCATCGGCGCTGGCGGGTTGACCCATCTGTGGCTGTGGCTGCTGCTGCTGCTGCTGCTGCTGCTGAGCGGGCAACGGAACAGCAGGAGGCTGCGGGGCCCACATGGGTGGAGGCTGGCTCTGAGGCGGCATCATGTTCATGTTCATGTTCATCATCATGTAAGGCTGCTGCGGCTGTGCGGCTGGCGGAGGCTGCTGGTACTGAAACTGCTGCTGCGTCGGAGGAGCCATGGCTGGCGGCGGCGCCATCGGAGGCGGAACTACACCCGGTGCTGGCTGCTGCATCATCTTCAGATATAGGAAAAAATCTAAAAGGACTGAGTCTGAAACCCTAACCCTAGATAAGGTAAGGTCTGGGGATTGAAGAGAGAAGCGGAACGGGGAAAGAGACACTCCTTAATATCGGGCACGTAATCAGATTAGATTCGTACCGAAAATACCGTGATTGGTTCGACGTTTAGCAGAATACCATGGGCTCATAGGGATATTTTTGTAAATTCAGTCCACTGTGGACCCACCCAAAGTTTTTTTTTTTTTTTTTGGTGAAAAGCCCACCCAAAGTTAGCACCGCTGATCTCGCCCTATTTGAAAAATGAATGAAAAAAAAATAGTGCATTATGGGTATGGAGACAAAAGAAAAATTATAAAATACTAACTTTAATAATGTTGATTTTATTTAGTTGGATTAATAAAAATAATAAATAATTATAATTATTCATTAATAGCACATTCGATATTTATTAATTAATAAATTAATATTTTTAAATATTATTTAAAAAATAAAAAATAAATACCTTAACATTTTTTTTTATTGTAACAATAACTACAATCATCAATGAGGTTCATAACATTTTTTCCCCTTTTTCAGTTAAGTTGATTGCTGACCTATTTAATTATTTTTTAGTTATTTTGAAACTAATTTCTCTTTAAAATGACAATCACTTAAATAATTTAATAATAATTTTTTTAATAAAAAATTTTAAATTTGAATTATATAATATACAAATAAGATAAGTTAATAAATGAAAGAAAGCTACCTACCATTATACAATGCAAAATTAAAAGGAAAAAATTCTCTCTGAAATATCTTGTATCATTTGCACCTAAAATGGCACTTATTAATTTTAGAAGTTAACTAGTAACTTTTATAAAAGGCTTTTTTACCATGTATATTTAGAGTTACTCGGATAACTATTATACCTTCATAATATTAATTAGTATTTAAAAAACAAAAATTGATATTAATTTTACTATTAATATTGTGTGAATCACCAATGATTTGTCGATCGGAGTGAAAGGAATTTGATTTATTTAAATAAGGTTTCGAATTTGAGTTTTATGAATGGATGACAGATACTATGAGAGTTTTTTTTCAAATAGGATCCGACGCAATTCGATTCTGAAGCAATTCGATTCTGAATTAATTAGAATCCAATATGATTATCAGACACCAAAATATTAATAAAAAAATTAATATTATGTGAATAATTTAATCTAATTAATTAATTATAAATTTTTTTAATATATGCCTTTAACACTCAAATTAAGAACACCATTTTAACATTAGTTGTTATTGAAAAAGTGACACCAAACATTCTTCTTATTGAACAAGAGCAATTCTTGAGGTAAGGGAAGCGGATTGAACCCAGCCCTATTGGCCGGAAACACACACCAATTTCCAATCAGCCTTACAGGACAGGTGTGTAAAGCCAAACCTCTATTTAATTAATTGTCTAATTAAAAATGATATATATAGTATTGGTGATAAAATTAATATTAGTTTTTGTTATTTTTTATATCAATTAATATAAAATATATATATTAATTACACCCTTAACTTGTATTCTAAGAATACCGGTTAAATAAATCCATAAATTTTTAATTTTTAGTTTTTAATACTAATTAATATTAAAAAAATACAATAATTACATTATTAAAAACCCTTTGGCTAAATTTCATGATTGTTACATAAACAATGGTCTTCATCCAGTCTTGTAAGTTGGCATGTGGCAAAAGTAGATTAGAAGTTTGCATTATAGTCTAAACTAGTCAAGCTACACGAGATGAACCATTGATGGAGAAAGAGCTCTTAATATAGGGTCAATTTCTCCTAAAATTAGTTTTTTTTTTTTTTTTAATACGGCAAGTTAAACACAATTTATTTTATCTCATAATATTTATGTGTAACCTATGAAACACTTCAAGGGATTTATAGATTTCTATTCATTAGACTAATAGTAAATCTTCAAAAAAAAAAAATATTTTGATATGATTGTGTTTTATTTAGCTTATTTTATCAATTTATAGCTTTTCTCCTTTAGCAGCTAGTTAGATTGTTTAGAAACATAAGAGCCATGATCTTTTGGTTTGTAGTTTCTTGACCATTTAGGGATAAAAAGAAGACTCAGGACCAAAGTGATGCAGACTATATAGTTTATAGACCAGCCATGAAATTTAAGCCTTTTCAATTTTTCTCGTCCCTTAGCTAGTGAAGTCAGTGTATGAGTCTGGTAAGGTGTTTGAAATGACGCCAAAAAAACAGGTTGCGTTTTGAAATACTGCTTTCACCCTCTTGAATCTGAAACTTTGGAGGGTAAATTTTCAGCCCATTGCAGAGATGGGTAAGAAGTTTTAACCTTTTCCGATCTTCCTTACCCTTTCAATTAAGAGAATTTGTAGTTTTTCAATTGAAAATCAGAACCCCATATTCAAGTTTTATGCTTTCATTCTGTAGTTTACGGTATTTGGATGATGGAGTAAACTCTGCACTGTGTTGTTCTAGTTTTAGGGGAAATTTTTGGATAGAATTAGTCATCTTTTTGAGATCTCTGAGTTGTTTCGGTCAAGTTCATTGTGTAACTTGAATTGTTGCAGTTCTTGGTAGTTGGTGAAGAATTTGGTTAGATCTGATACTAGGGTTAGAATGGATTTGCATTTGAAGATTTTGTTTGATAGATTCCAGGAGCAGTTTGGTTCTGGTCCTGGACTTGGTCCCGGATCAGGGGCTTGTCTTATGAAGGTAGAAGGAATTTCTCCTAACTTTATCAAGTCTATATTTAGGGCTGCAGCTGCTCTGTATAGAACTGAGCCTTGGAAGAGATTCCACCCGGGGCATTTTTTTGGGGTCCGAGTTGGGAAGGATTCAGATTGGTCTGGCAAAAAATACCCTTTTCCATGTGCCCAGTTTATTGGAGGGGATGGTGGAGATGTTGGGTTCTATTTGTTTCGATCTGAAAACGATGCTAAAAGGATGACAGGCTCAAGGGAGACAGTTCGAGTTCCAAATGTCGAGCTTTTGAGAGTCACGTATGAGCTTGAGACATTGATGTTCCCTTCTAACCGTAAAATGATCAAGTCGTTTTCCTTGGAAGCATCAGGGAGTGATCGATTTCCTGTTGTTGATGTTGCTCGCTGCACAACTTCAGGTGATCTTCGGTTTAGGAGTCCAACATTTGAAGAGCTTAGGTTTGTGTATGCATTCATGAGAGCAATTTCTATGGTTCATCCGTTACTTCAGGTGGATAAAGAAGTTGGTCCACACTTGTCAGGTTTGATATGTTTTGAGCCATTTATTGAGACAGTTGATGTTCAGTGGCCTTCTGAAATGGCAAAGGGCAATGATCTTGTTGCAGTTACAATCTCACATCCTCCTGGTCAGGCATACGAGGATAAGGCAAGCTCGACAGCAAGCTCAACACCCACCAAATATGCGGAGCCACCTAAGGAGGAGTTCTTCATGGATGTAAGAGTAAACTCAAAATCCAGCTCTATGCAGTGTGCAATGTGTGAAAAAGACGTTAACGGAGACCAATCTCTTTGCTGTGGCCAGTGTCGAGCAGTGGTCTACTGTGGTTCTGTCTGTCAGAAGCAGCACTGGAAGGAATCACACAAAAGCATGTGTGGTCTATACAAAGCTATGATGGAAAGGGAAGAAGAGCTGGCGATGAAAATCTTCATGTTCCCTTGCTCTGCTGAACAACCTTGTAAATGGCTAGAATCCTTGGAAATCCATCAGAAAGGGATGTGGAGGAGAAAGTGTAATTGTTATTCTCACTGCCTCTTTGGTCTTCTTCCTGTTAAAGGTGGGTTGTGGGATTCATGGGGTGGGCTCAACGATGAGGAGTACCCCCGTGATTCACCTTTTCACAATCAGCTAACAAGCCCTATCCTTCTTTCTGGTTGGTCAGAGTACTACAACCTTCGGTCACTGCCATTGTCAAGCCCTGTTGCTGATATTCTTTCCCATCCTCTGACAGTTTATTACATATTAACAGCTCTCAGTATCAGTTCAAAGAACCTTTTACTCAAAGGAAAAGAGGTAATTCTCCACTACCTGGGGCCTGAAGGGGAGTTGGATTGGATGCCAGCATTTGCTGAGATCAGTCATTTGCTCAATGGATTAGGTAATATACAAATCGTAATGGTGGGACCTGAAGTGCCCACAAACTTATCAGGGACAACTTCAGGGATAAGCAGCAGAGTGAGGGTCAACCTTGTGAGGGGTTTCTATCAGGAGGAAGCCACCTACCTGCCTTCTCCCCATGCTGTAGTTGCATTGAACTGTGAACTGGATAGATATGCTAGTTGGGGTGGAGCTCTTGATCTGATCAAAGCCATGGGCATCCCAGCCTTCTTCACTGAGCAGTCAGAACTTACGTGTACAAATACTAAACAGGTCTTACGTAGTGCTGGACTGCATATCACCCACCCTGTGACACCCAACCCCTTCCGCTCCCCAGTCAAGAATCATGGATTTTCGAGCAATCTTCCTTCTTATTGTAATGGATTTGTGCTGGGAGTAAATACATGACTCAAGACTCTGTTGTCATGGAATACTGAACCTCAGTGCAAGGATCAATGGGTGAGAAGGCATTGGTTGACAGGCAATTTAGTAAGGTACTCAACTTCAAATACGCCTTTCTCTGATGTCAGAAGCTTTATGATTATTCTGTTTTATCACTGAATGAGGACTGCAACTTCTCAGTGCGAGCTATGGGATGCATCCCTCTTAGCCTTTTTTCTTACCCATTTTTTTACTTGTACCTAGCTTCGTTTCTTTGTAATGGTTTTTTTATGCACATTTATTGTCATGCCAAGTTCAGTTGGAATTTCTAACAGTTTTCATTGCAAAGCCTGTTGGTGAAATATCTAAGCTGAGATAGAACTTCAGTGACTCAAAACCAAGTTCTGTTTTATGTTGTATTCATGTTGCTTGTTCTGCTGTTGAATATTGATATGGACGCTGAAAAACTGAGAAAATGAACACAGGAGCCTGTGATGATTAACCTATCTTCACCACAATGAAAAGCTGCCTTCTGCTTCGCCAAGAAACAACCATCATATGCAGATATCCTGGCATGATAAGCGATCTGTGTTATATTCAATTACCTTTTTACATTGAGTTAATTATTGGAAAGGGGAATAGCATGTTTAATGTTGTACACAAGGCTAAGGTAGGGATACCTGATTCAATTGAGTTAAATCACTTCATCCGTATCATCTCACATATCAAAGAAATGAAGGGGGAAGGTCCGACCACATAGATTAGAAGTAAGGGGGTGTTTGGTTGGGGGGAAATTCCTCTCCAGCCCCCCCCCCTTCCCCTCCCCCCCAAAAGTTCTCTAAATTTTTTTTCCTTTACTAGGTTATATATATATATATATATTTTTGCCTATTAATATTACAATAAAATAAGGATAAAAGTGATATTTTTAATTTTTAATTTTTCTAATATAATCCTTAACTCATAAAGTTTTTTTTTTCTATTTCTTTTAAAAAGAAAAAGTTTTCTTATAACTTTTGTCATGTTCACTTAACAACTTTTCTTACTAGTTTTTCCTATATGAATTTCTTATCAAACATCACAAAGTTAATAACTCAACAAAATTTCACTATAAAATTTATCAACTTTTCATATAACAATATTAACTTTTTGTACAATACTTTCTTAATTACTTTCTCAATAAAATTGGCTATCTAACCAAATACTTTCTTAATCACTTCCTTGATAAAATTTTTTTAATAAAATCGACCTTCTAACCAAACAACCACTACAAGTGACATGAGAGAGAGTATTTGGTGTCAACGGGACATGTATCCTTGTCCAACCAAAACCAATCTAATATAACAAGAAATCAGCAAATTTGCTAAGAATGTTGATTTTGGTTTAACTGGTTGTGACGCACCTTTTTTTTTGGGGGGGGTGGGGAACATTTCTCGATTAACATATTTGGACAGCATTGCCTATTTTACACTCCAACTAACTAAAAAGAAGCCTTCCTAATAAATTAAAGTGGCCATTCTCACCCATCATGGTAAAAAATATCAAAACCTGGATATCATTTTTAATTCTAAACAATTCTATATAGGTAATAGATTTATCCATTGCCAAGTATGTCATTTTTTAATGGACCACCTTTCAATTTGCCCTTAGATTGCATCTTTACATCCATCATTTCCCATCAAGGTATAAGTCCTGGAAAGTTTGGAAATACCCAATCTTCTCACCACTTGGATATTGCCATTTTCCCATCAACCACAACTTGCCCACTTTGTGGCCTATAAAAGGATCAAGCTGCCTTCTCCTCCTCCACCTACCAAGCCACCTCCCACACCCATATCCTCTTCCTTCCCAAACACAGTCTCAACTTTCTCCCATAAACAATGGAGTACTCAACATTCCAGCTTTCTCCCTGGCACTATATGCTTGCATCTGCTTCCCTTTTCTCCCATCAATTCACCCCAGAAAACTATGTTCGTTGGACCCAAACTCCAGAATCTCATATTTTCTCTGCTGACCTCCCAGGTAATTTTCCAGGAAAAAAAAAAATCCCCTTTTCTTTCATTTCCCATTTTCTTTCTCATGTTTTGTGATATAATTTGGCTTCAATATGTTTGTCATGTCAGGTGTAAGTAAAAAGGAAATAAAAGTGGAAGTTGAGGATTCAATATATCTTATAATTAGGACTGAGGCCATTGATGAATCAACAAAGCCAGCCAAGAGCTTCATGAGAAAATTCCGGCTGCCGAGAATGGTGGATATCGACGGAATATCTGCCGGATACCAAGACGGGGTCTTGACCGTGACGGTGCCTAGGTCTCTGAGTAGAGGGTTCTATATTGACCCAGCAGATATTCCTGAGAGGCTAGAAGTTGTTGCCAGAGCCGCTTGAATTAGGAAATGCAGTGTTTGGTTGGTTAGTTATTTGGGCAGTATGAATTGGGATTCTGTACGAGGAAATTGTTTTATTACAGAAAAGCTGTGATTTTCCTGAGAATCAAAAGTCCAGGACCAAGATGATCAAATATGTACAATATAATCTTATTTTGAGATTGCAAATTGCATTATGTTTGGTAATCACTCTTATAGGTTGAGTATAATCAGAATTTGCTATGTACCCACCAAACAGGAGAAAGGAATCCTTCTGTGATTTTTCTTCTTATTATGACCTGTTTGGAAATGTCATCAATAAGAAATATGCTCTTGGGTACATTCATAAAAGCGTTTTAATTTAACTCACATCATCTTAGCATTGCGCTAGTTGCATGATGATATGCCTACACTAATTTTTTTTTTTTTTTGTTTTAAACATTTTGTCATGAAACCGGCTCAAACGTTACCCTGAGGAGGGACATAAACTTTACAAGCGTGGCTAGGCTAAAGTCACTTGACCCGAAGAGTCAGGTTCGATATATCTACACTAATTATTAAATAAAGGGTGACTTCTATAATATTGGAGACTTTTTCCTTACAATAATTTTTATTTTACATTTCAATACAATTTGAATTGTAAATCAAAAAACTAACAAAAAATATTCACTCTTTGCTTAAATCCCTTACCAATTCAAAATTCGAATATAAAATCCTTATCTTAAACTTTCAAATTCT